CATAGTTTGAGTTTTTGACCCTACTTTTCATAATGGCCTCAATGTTGTGCCTGGAAACAACTGCCCTTGGGAGAGGAAGAGTTTGGTTAGGACATTTCTGGGTCAGTTTGAGTTATATCTCACTCTTAGACTGGGTTATATATTCTAGGTATATCTGAAACCCTTTACAAAAATTATCCCCACTTCCTACTTACTAAGGAGGTTCCTTCTCTCAAAATGGAATAACGATATTTTCTAAGTAAAATTTCATTTGAGTGAGTGAAAAGAACTTTCTGATAAAACTTCAAATATCACCACCTTCTCTTCAAGCTGGTCTAATTTTGTCTTTTTTTTATAAGAAGGATATGCTTATATTTTCCCACTCTGTACCCTTGTAATACAAAAAGGTACAGAATGATATTATCAAGTGACAGAATAATTAAGTATGATTCAAATGTTTATATCTGAACTAAGACAACTGTAGAGGGGAATCACACACAGCCTCTTCCTAGATAAATGTTTTTGTGAAGCCTCTTTGGAGGGGGCAGGAGTGTGTGTGAGGGTGCTGATAACCCACTCTGGGACTGCAGAAGTAAAATAACAAACACACAAAGACCAGGAGCAGAAGAATTTAAAATAAGCAACCCAGAAATGGAGGCAGCACTCTCCATCATATCCAGATACAGAGGTTTTTGCAGAGGCAGTTTTTGATCCCAATTTGTGAAGTTTAATTTGTTGCTAAAATATTTTTACTCTTTTAAAGTTTTTAGTGTTTTCAAATATATATTACTTTTCAAATATGTATGTAACTTTTGGTTAGCAGAAGCTGTGGTTAGGTGTGACATAGTTTGAACTTGCAGTTCAAAAACCTCAGGCAGCCCATGCCCTTTAAAAATAGACAGGTAAAATGGTCTGAATTAGCTAATTATTTTAATTGCCAATCTCTCAATTAAGTGCAGTGCTATATAGGGGCTGAAATAATAGTTAATACTTTTCCAGAGAAGGCTATTTCTGGTTGTAATTTCAAGCTGTAGATTTTGGGCTGCAATAAGCATTTTTTCTTCTCCCTCATGGGTTTCTTTATTTCCTCCCCAAACTTCTGTCCTCACTCCAGCCCTTACGCCTGGCCATGGTGGAACACAGGAATGATTGTCTTCTGTAATTCCTAGGCTCTGCCCCAAACCAGAACACTTTAATATGAGTGACTGTGAATAAATCCTTCCTGGATATCTTCATCTCATTTTTAATTACAGGAGACATTTTCTGTTGTATAAGTATTTCCTAACTTGGTCAGCTTCCATGGTTTTCTCTAATTTTCTTTTTTTTTTCCTGCTTAAAGAAGTCTTTAAGTTCTGCCTCTCCTACATCCCTGGAAATGCTTGCTAGCAGTTGCCATCTTCCCAGTTCATCTAATCTAACATAAGAAATTCCATGTGTGTATTTCCCTCAGTACAGATCTCCCTCCATCATTTCCACACCAGTTCATGTTGTCTGTGGAGAAGATCTTCCTTCCCTCCACTTCATTTTCCTACAACTGATTTCCCAGGCAGTGGCACTTTGGCTCCATGGCCCTTATACATGCCATGGGAAATGGAATATTTGCCTTCAGTCACACTCACGCTTGGAATAAATCCATTCTCTGTCCTATCTGAGCATGGACACAACGTTTAAGCCACATTCAATGCCTCAGATATGGAAGATGGCAAAGGAACACCCATCAGGGAAGGCTGATCTGTATCTCATCTTTACAGAGGCAGCTGCTTTGTTTCATCACAAGAGTTCCCACCTGCCTCAACATTTTTACCTTACAGCCTGCAGAGTTGTGCACAAAAAATGCAGTAAAAGGAAGAGAATCAAATGCATTTGGCTCATGGGAGTCATACCAGAGCTGTGGTGTGATACTAGAAATGTGCACAGTCAGTTACCCATTAGGGAAGATGATTACAGACACCCATAAGGCCAGAGTGGCAATCCCTGCTCACCATGGCTGTGGAAGAAATGTAATGGATGAGGGAATTAGTGTCAGGTTTATTCAGATTTCTCCTTTAAGACCGCTGATGTGCATTTTCAGGAGCTTTCTCCTATTTCTCCTGACATTTGCAAGGCTGATTTATTTGTTACTAATCGGTGCTGTAATCAGTGCTTTCATTTCCAGCCTTCTGCTGCTGGGCGTATGAAAAACCAACCAGAGGTGAAACACTCGTTGCTTATTAGCACTTCATATTCTGCTGGAACATCCCGAGCTCAGGGCACGTAGCTGCACGGCGCTGTGTGTGCCCGGTGGCTCCGGCTCCATCCCCGGTGCTCAGCGAGGGCAGCAGCGCCTGGTGCCGTGTCCCGGCACATCCCTGTCCGCCCGGGGCCGCTGCCGTGGCCCTCAGCGCTGGAGTTTGGCACGTTGCTATGGTGACCCCGCCGCCGCAGGCAGCACCGAGCCGCCACCAGCACAGGTCGGTGTCCGCGGTTCGGCCCTCGCCATCGGGGGCGGCGGGAGAGCGGCGGCCGCGCTCCAGGCTGCTCTGCAAACCGAGCTGGGCGCTTTCCCTGTCGGCCGCTCGCACCGCTGCCCTCCTGCCCGGCTCCCGCTGGGGAGGAGCAGCAGCAGGAGCAGCCCTGGCCATTCCGCTCGCAGACAGCGCCCTGGGGGCCAGGAGGGGAGGGGGTGACTCCGCTCCGCTGGTGGGTGCTGGCAAAGGGACCCCGCTGCTGGGCAGTGTCGTGTGCTGGGTCACGGCAAGGGCTGAGCTCTGCTGGGCCTCGGGGCCGGGAGCAGTCAGGCACGGGGCACGGCGTGCGGTGCCCGGCAGGGTTCTGCCAGGGAGTCTGTAGCCGCTTCTCTGCGGCCAGGTGTGCTTCCCTCCTTGCTCTTCATTAAGTTAAGATGTAAAAAAGTAGCTACACTGCATTGCTCTGAAAAAAAATGGGCTTCCAGTAGCGCCGTGCAGACTAAAGCTGCATTTTACCAGAGACCCGGCCAAAGTCGCAGAGCAGCGTCTGGGGGGGGACGCGGGGGTCTGTACGAGCCTCATCCCCAAACGCCGCGGCAGAGGCGCACGGGAGCATCAGCGTCTCGCCCTCGTACCGAGAGCTGCAACCGGAACGACTCTGCACCGCCTGCCTCCCGCTGCCAGCCTCCCCGCGCCCTGGGAGTGGGCGGCTGAAAACATGCAGGGAGGCGAATACCGACTGCGTTATCACTTACGCAAACCTGGCATCGCTGACGTAAATTTAGAAGGGGATTCAGCAAATAAAGGCGGCTCCCGGCAGCCCGCATTACCTCGGGTACTCTGCGCGGGCTGTGCCTCGCAGGACACGGCGAGCAGATGGGGCTGCCCCCGCAGCTGGGAATCCTCCCTGGGGTTTGTAAATCCTAAGCTTTGAGTTAAAGAAGTGGTGGGATGTGTTGGTGGGAAAGCGAGGCTCCCATCTGGCAGGGGTAGAGAGGAGGCTTCTTGTCTCAGGCATAAGCTGCTCAGAGGTCATGGCCAGTGTCACGGTGGGTACAGATTGCTGTAGCTTGGCTCTTCTGCTTCCCCAGTGAGGGCAGGACAGGCTCAAGCCAGCAAAGAGCAGCACAGTGTCCCGAAAAAACCCAGCCATTGGCAAATATTGGCAAGACCTCCTTCTCCAGGAGCTGCAGTACTCAAAAGTGAGGGAGGAACTCAGCAGTTGTAGTGTATCCTGTGTTTGCATTGCTGGAGAAACATCCTCTGTGGTGGGCTGTGACTCCACCATACCGAGGGACAGACCTGTCCTCGGTGTCCTCTAACCAAGACTCATTCTGGACCCATAAGTATTTTTATTTAGTAGTGCTATCCTTCTAAATCGTTGTTGACCATTTCCCACAGCTGGAAAATGCAGAACTGAGGTTGAACTCTTAACAGTATTTTCTTAGTTAGAATTTCTAGCTTTTATTTCCTAGCAAGGACCTAAAGAACCTTTCTTTCTCCCTCTCCTCCCAAGGCTCAGTTTTTCTCCCCTGCCGGGCTCCCTGGCACCCACAGCACAGCAGGAACCAGAGCTTTGCTCTGCCGCGAAGGGAGAGACGCAGCAAAATCATTCGAAATGGCTCAGTCCAGCGGATCAGGACAGAAGGGGGAGCCCAGGAGACAAAATCGGAGAGCATCCCACCCCGCCGGGCTCCAGCCGAGCTCTGGATGTTAACGGCATTCATAGAAACTTGCTTTTGTTTCTACAGCCACCTTTTGGCTTTTGTTTATGGTTTATAGGAGACCACTCTCACCTCCAAATCTGTGCCGAATTCCCACTGTGCTGAAGAGCAGTTCTATTGGCAATGCTCAGAAATTGCCACTATGCTGCACTCCACCATTGTCCTCTGTATTTATGAGGCAAAAAACGTCTCCTTTTCTCTCCTCTTCCTCCACACTGACCCTTTCCCTCCAGGCCTCCAACGCCCGAGCCACCCCCACTGTGCCCACCATGCCCTGCCTGCTGTTCCTGCTTTAAACCCACCTCACCTGTGAAGTCACCTCAGAAGTCACCTCCTTGGAGCTTGGTGGGCTGGCGAGCACTTGGCCTGCCCTGGCCAAGCCCACAGCCTCCTGGGAGAGGGAAACGTTGTGGTTTCAAGTCCTTTCAACAAGGCAGCTGGAGATTGATGTTTTTAGCAGCAAAGGAGCCTGAGCTGCATTACTGCTGGGGGTATGAAGTGTCCCAGCTGCAGGTGGGCCTCAGGGACACTGGACAACTCCCTGACCCATTCCATCAGCTGTATGGAGGAGATGCCTTTCCCTGCACTCCCCAAGATCTCTGGCAGATGCAGAGATCAATGCCTGCCACAAACCTAAGCTGCTGAGATTTATTTAACATTTCCTAGCAGGCCAGGCTATGCTATGAGCCCATTTTCACATAGTGCTGGTTTGTACTTCAGTATCTTTAGTTGCCTCCTGTTTGTTGTATCTCTGTGCATGGCTCACAAATACTGTTCTGCCTGTACCTGCCTCAGTACTTTCTAATTTATTGCTGATAATAATTTGTTTTCTTCTCCAGATACCAGCAATATGCCTGTCATAAAGTATCCGAGGGCTAGAGATCCTCTCTTTTATGAATGGGACAGGAAAGCCCAGAAATGTGGATTAAGACACACAATTTATGCTGTAAATGGGGATCAGTATACTGGAGAATGGCTGGACAACTTGAAACATGGTAAGATAGATAATTTTGAGACAAAATAGCAACTTAGATGTTCTTACAAAGTTTCCTAGGGGGAAGTGGTCAGTGGTTCTATGTGCTCTTTATGCTCCTGGAAGAGCATTCATGTAGGACTATATGTACACACACACACACACACATATTTGATATATGTAATGCAAAAATGCAGAAACATTTCTAATAGGTAACTTGAAGATCTTTTGCATGCGCTCAGGGGCAACTACCCAAAATATCTCTATTATAGATGTTTAAAAATCCTTCCCAAATAACAGCAAACTGCAGTCAGCTCCATGCACTGGGATGTGCCCTGGCTGCACAGTCCCTGGAGCTTTCTTAGCTCCTGACTTGGTTCCAGGAATCTTAATTTATTCCCAAGATGTGGCAGGGGTTGCAGGGGACAGAGCAGGAGGAGACCCTGTCCAAGCCAGGAGCAGCCAGAGCAGGAGAGACTTGTTTACAAGCAGTAAACTGAGGTTTGGAAAGATTTCAGTGCATTCAGCTGAGGCCACACAGGAAGACCCTGATCAAGATTAATGATGGTTCCAACTGGGAAGCTAAACTGAATCCCAGACATGAGCCTGACTTTGTGCAGGGAGTGCTGCCCTGCCTGGGATGGAGCAGGAAGGGCAGCCCTGTGCACCCTTCTCCTAACCATGATGGTCTCCCTGTCTTTCCTCTTGTTTGTTAAACAGGTAAAGGCACCCAGATTTGGAAAAGCACAGGAGCTATTTACAGCGGTGACTGGAAGTTTGGGAAGCGGGACGGTTATGGCTCATACAGCATTCTTGACCCAGTGACCAAGGAATACAAGAGGGTGTACACAGGCTGGTGGGAAAATGACAGAAGAAGTGTAAGTGAGATTTTCTGTCAGCAGTGAGGCAGTGGGACCCAAAACACGGGGAAGGGTTGGGCGCACATGTGCAAGAAGATTACTTAAAATGCTAATTTGTGCAATGCTGAGGCTGAATTGAATGATCAAGACTAAAAATCCAAGATTTGTATGGGAGTGCCATCTCCTTCCTGGAGAGGGAGTCATCCCTACCCATCTGCTGGTTACCAGGCTAGAGCCCTGAGCTCCCACCAGCTGCCACAGAGCAGTGGTTACTGCTCAGACTCACCTGCAGCTGGCCAAGCATGATGGGAGGTTTCACATCCTGTCTCTTAATCCTCCCCACCCATCCCTTTCATTACTCTTGTCCTTGAACAAGTCAGAGGAACCTGTATTATAAGCACTGCCAGAAAATGCACCTTCTTCTGGGAGTTTTACAGCATAATAGGCAAATAACTTGAGTTCTTTTGGAAATTAAGCCTGTCACATTAATCAGTTTTTCCTAAAAGGAACATAATGAGAAAGTCATCTGGTAGACGTGACTGCAATGCAATGTGCAAAATCCTTGTAGGAACGTTTTTGGATCTGCCAATGGAAACCTTGTGTTTGTCTGTGTGTCTGCTCTTAAATTAAACTCATCTCCACCAACGCTTTTAATGGGCGTGTGGCTCCATGGCTTCTGTCTCTTGGAGGGAGCTTCCCTTCCTGTTCTTTAAGGTTAGATTTTCCATAATTGAGCTTTGCTGAAAGATTTATAATGACATCCAAATATCACTAGGGTTGGGTTTTCTTCTTAAAAAGCTTCTCCCTTACATCCATGCAGTTTAATGAAATTAATACTCAGAAAAATCCGTTGTTTCCAGAACTGGTTTTATTATTTGCTCAGAAAAAAGAAAACACTTTATTCCTATGGGAAAATGTGTTAGTGATATGGAAATATGTCTTATTGGTATCACTCCCTGGCATAGGGGGTACCTCTGGACTTTTCTTAATGGCAAACATACATGTAAAACAAACAAGAGGTGGAGTTGCCCAGGCTGGGACACACTGAGCTGGAAACGTCGTCAGGGTTGATAGATATGAAATCCCCGTGTTGAGAGACACATCCTTTAATGCTGCCTATCTCCAGGCAGGTTTATATACTTGTAAAACCCGCTTTTAGCTAAATATTAGCAGCAATCATGCCAATAATAACACACTGAGATATAAACCCAAGGTTTTGTCAAGGGAATAAAACTGTTTGCCAAAAATGTACTACCACATCTCATTCCCTTCAACACGAGGACACCCACGGAGCTGGGCTGCCAGCAGCCACGTGTAAGAGTAATAAACAAAGGAATATTCTATCAAAGTGATGTTCCAAAATTGAACACTGACCCCTTTCAATAGAGCAGCTCCTAACCAGCCATCTCTGTGCTGCTGTCCAGGGCCGGGGGATGTTCTTTTACCCCAACGGGGAGCTCTACGAGGGCGAGTGGAGCAATGGCTTGCGCAGCGGCTGGGGAAAGATGCACTACAAGGACGGCTCCACCTACGAGGGACAGTGGCTGACAGATCAGCCCAATGGGCAGGGCCTGCTGCAGCTCCGTAAGTACCGAGCACCCTCACCCTGCCCCCTCCAAGCTGTTTGGTGTCGTGCTGCTCTCCGGGTGTCTCTGCCACCCAGATGTCTCTGCTGTGCTGCGGCCTTGCAGCAGGACTGCGGCTGCTCCGTGTCATCCCTCCCCTCCTGGTCTGGAGCGGGAGGCAGCACAGGCTGAGCAAGGGCCGGCACTGCACTGCTCAAGCCCATAAGCCCACACGCATGAAAGCTTACTTTTGCTGTGATTTACATTTAAATGACTGGGACGGTTCGGGTTAGAGATAATATACTGTTGGGTCAGAGAAGAGCAAATCTCTCTTTTCAAGGCAGGCGCTTTGCCAGACAGGCTTTCTAGCTCTGAATACCAAAGAAGAGTTCAGTTTCGAGCACAGGGAAAAAACCACAACAACATAGTTTTCTTTCTGAGTTTGCTCCATCCCCTCTGTCTACTTCCGACAGTGGCTTGTGTTGAGTGAACACAGGGGTTTCATTAGTACACAATCCTTTTCCATAAATAACCCCAAGTACATAATGGATTTGGAATGTTAGGGCCAATCTCAGCATAAATACAGAAATTTAATTTTTTTTTCCTTATTTTCCTTGGAGTTTAACACATTTTCCCCCAAAGCAAACAATCCCAACCATCTCTGCAATACCAGGCATGGCATTCCAAGAACATCTGAATAAATATTATCTCAATATTATTATTCATCTATTCTATCTTTTTTTGCTTGAAAGTTATCTCAAGGCTAGTAATTAGCTAAGCAAAGCAGCTGGGAGGAATGAGCCTGACCTTCTCTGCACACCACATGCATGACTGTGCTCCCTCCGCTGACTGTGAATTCGCTTTGGACTGATGGCTCATCTGGATGAAATCAGCACCTGCTTCCAGGGGGAATCTTGCACTGATCTGCTGTGCTCTGTCAAAGGCCCTGTTAGTTCTAAACTAACAACCCCTGCAGGCTGAGCTGTGGCTGATACACCATTTCAGAGCTCAGTTGCCTCCAGCCTAGCCTGCAACTGATTGTTAGCTGGATTCCTTTTGGTTAAAATTAGCCGGAGCAATTATTTCATACCCACAAGCTTAATGCATTCAGCTCAGCTGCTGGAAGTGCGCCCACGTGCCGGCAGCTTTGCCATGTGAAAGAAAAGGAGTTCTTCAGTGGAGGTCATGATGAGCTGCAGCTCAAGATTAAATTGCTTGTAGTGGCAGCGTGCCCGGTGAGGGTGAGCTTGGCTGAGAGCACCGCACTGATCTGCTGCCTCTGCTACATCCATTCCCCAACAGCTTTGTACCAGAGCACTTCACATCCACAGGGACTGTGGTTGTGAGCAACACAGCCTTGGTGCTCTGGGAGGAGAGCAGATGGGAACAGCCAGGTACCACAGTGCAGTCAGGATGTTCATTGCCCCCTCCTTGCAGCCAGGATTGTGGTTTCGGTGGTTTCTCACTTGGTGGCTTGAGTGCAGAAGCCAAGCTGCTCCCAGCCATGGACAAGGCAGCTTGGTGTTGCAGATAAGCACAAAAGCAGATCAAAGTTGTAGATAACCATCACCATGGCTCCAGCAGGTTAACCAGACCTTGCCTGAGCATCCCAGCAGCCACATTCTCTGGAAGCCTTTTGGTTTTCCCCTCTTCCCTTACAGCATCCTGGCAGGTCCCAGCTATCTCTGCACCACTGTGTGGGGTGCCCTGGTATTTCTGCCACTTCTTGTGATGAAGAATGGCAGAGTTCAGCTGAGACTCAAAGGTATTTCCACTAACATGGTTAGAAATCCCCATGGGTTTGGGCTTAGAAAGACTGTATGTAGGAAAAGGGGTGAGCAGAGGACACTCCTAGTGACAGCAGGGTGGTCTGGATTTATCCCAACCCCTAGCATCACCATGGGTATGATGCCCTTTCTCAACCAGCATCCATGGATGAGGCTGCTCTCTTCCTCTTGCAGCTCTGCTTTCCCTGTTAGTGATGGATGGGTGGATTCCTGGAGAGCAGCAGAGAGCCCAAAAAAAGCCTCTCTCAACTTGCAGAAAAATGCCAAGAGAAGCAGTACAGCTGGAAAAACAGCCTGTAACTGACTGCCAGAACCGTTCAGACTCTTGCAGCAATTCTCACCCCGTAATTCACCGAGGAAAAACTTAACTAAAAGTATTCTTTGAAATCAAGATTATTTTGACTGGACAGCAATCAGTGCTCTGTTCCTTGCCCAGACAAGCAAACCTCTTCAAGCCAGAGATCCTGTGTGATTTGTTGCAGTGACAAATCTGAAACTTGTGTCCTGTAATTTTTCATGTTGTGAAGAGTGACTCAGGGACCAGTCCCTTACCTTGAGCATACTGGCTCCTTGTGTCAGCAAAAAATGAGTATCACTGTGAGAACACAGCTGGTGAGCAGAGTCCTGGTTCCAAGTGAGCAAGTGTGGGCTCCTTCTGCAGCATTTTCTCCCTCTGTGGCACAGCAAATGGAGCACTGCAAAATCAAAATGACACACAGTACCACAGCCACCTTGAAATTACTAAGAGGAGCCAAACACATCATCTTTTCCTCTGCTGGTTTGCTCTGCTGATTGATTTGTAACCCCTTAACACAATGGTGCAAATTTCAAGGTCTGTTCATGTATTCAATTGCAGCAAATGGAAATCGGTACGAAGGAGGTTGGAAAGATGGCAAGAAGCATGGCCCAGGAAAATACTTCTACCTAGATAAGGGACAGCTGTTAGAAGGCATCTGGGTAGCAGATATACCAAAGTGTGGAGTTCTGGTTGACTTTGGCAGAGACAACGCTCCAGCCCCTTCTGAGCTTCCCCTCCCAGAGGTAATTGCTTGGAAATGTTAGTGTTTGTATTCATCAGTGCTCGGGTCAGCTCTCCAGGTAGCATTTCACTTCTCAAGAGATTTCCCCCATGGGGTGTGTGCTCAGAGTCTTTTGGCCAGCAGCATCCTAAATGGCCCCATAGGGACTAACAGCTCATGCAGCCTCTGCTGGAGCCTCCCAATTGCCTACATCTGAAAAAATGCAGTTCTCATGCACCAGAACTGCTCAGAGACCTGATGCAGCACAAAGGAAATGGGGACAATAGAGGCACAGACAATAGTGGGATTTGTGTCAAGACCAAATGATTTCACCAAGCCCAGCTGCTGAGGCTGAGCAGACCCTGCAGGGCCAACAGCAGCTCTTTCCTCCAAGTCAGGGGCTCACCACTGTGCCCAGCAGCCCCAGGGGCAGAGGGGTGTGTGCAGCTTCCCACCTGGGCCCAAGGAGGGCAGATGGTGTCCTAGAGCCCACATCCTCTGCTCCTCTTTTCCCTTGACTGATACACACTGCAGAGGAAGAGCCAGGCCCTATGCCAAAGATTTGGTGAGACACAAAGCCACACTGGGCCATCAGCCTGGCAGCCACTGGGTCCTTGCACGACACTTTGGTGGACAGGAGAGCCTGTCCCCAGCTCTGTGCTCTTGGAGGAAAAGGAAATGGGAATCAGCAGCGAACAGATGTGACTCCAAGTGAGAGCTGGCCCTAAGAGTCTCAGCTTGAACCCTCATGGGCTGCAAACCACAGATGTGAAACAAAATGGTCAGTGCAGGATGGGCTGGGGAAGCTCCCCTTCAGTTAGAGCCAAGCAGAACCTCCCTGGATAATCACAGCTCACCACTCTGCTCCAGTAACACAGGGAACAGCACAGCCCCATGGCAGGTAAGGCCACCCACCTTCCTCTGGCCCAGGGACAGGACTGTTCAAAGTGACACCAGGCACATGCAGCCTTCCAAAGCTCACAGCTCACATCTTCATTGCCCCTATCTTTTCAAATCTGCTTTCTATAGCCAAAGGCCCTTTGAGCACAATTTTGACGAGTCACTTAATCCTCTAAGTACCAAGCACACCTACAGCAGTGCAGAATAATAAACCCCAAATACCCACCAGAGAAAAGCAATCTCTATTTTGCAAAAAGAGTGAAAGGAGCAGCACTTCTGTGGCTAAAAATATTTACTATATGTGGTTTGTCAAAGGTCACTGAGAAGAGCCTCAACAATCCAACAGCCTGGGATGAACTACTGGTACCCTAAGGCAGGATGTGCAAGTCTGGCTGTTTATTTAACTCCCTGAAAACCAAGTGATGATCCAATCCTCTTCTGCTCTATAAGCAAAAACAAAGCATAAACTTTCACTGCTGTTATTGTGCTTTCAATGGGTAGAGATCTGTTGATCTTCGAATATGAAGTAATTGATAAAAGGAGAAAAACTGAATTCAAGTTTTCATAAATTTTTGTCACCACCACCCCCTTTATTAAAATTATAGGTGAGGCCTAACAGGCTACAAATCAAAGGCACTTTTGCCCAAGAGTGTGTTTTGTTAAAGTCACCCACACAGAGCTGTTTCAAGGAGATAAAGTGATGTTCAGCACACTAATAAAATTAGGGGAGTGTAGTTGTTTCTAAATAATTAAAAGGCTGCAATATGAGCTGAAGTCCTGATACGTGGGACTCTCCAATAATGCTGAAGAAATTAAGATCTATAAAACCTTAAGCTTCTTCAATTACACTGCATAACTGATTTGTATTCTTTTTATTTAGATTAAACTACATGATCCAGCTGCTGTTTTAGCAGAGGCCCGGGCAATGTTTGATGACAGCCATAATTAATAACCAGATGAAGAAAAAAAAATTCAAGAACACGATCCTGGGTTATTTATTCCTTCGAGTGTGAAACCCACACCGTGGTTTTTGTGTTGCAGTCGGCCTCATCCTTCCCTCAAGGCTCTGCAGGTATACTTCCCTCTGCAGGTGGCTTTGCTCAGTAGCCTCCTCCCACCCCCATTATTTTGGAAAAGAAAGGAAAAAAAATTAATGGGGAAAAACCCAAAAGACAAGCACCAACAGGATGGAAGAGAGGCAGAGTGACTCTTTGCTCAGCTCCTCTTATTCCTCCTGCTAAGAAATCACACTCCTGGTGGTTTCAAGGCCTTTGCTTTAGAGAAGGAGGGTTTCTACTATGTGTTTTAAAAGCACATAGAAAAATACAATCAAGTAATTGTGTCCTCCCCTCTGCCCAAATATAGCCCAATACATACCTGTGACCCCAAATGCCTTTTGAAGTTACAACAGATCATGTTTCAGTTAATATTTTAAGCCTCTAGATAAAAAATAATCCACAACAATTGAGTATATTTTATTTCATGAAAGTATTTTATACCCAAATAAGTGATATACAATAACCAATGTTTAAAATGATTGAGGTAAATGCCTAACACCGTTAGTATAAATAAGGGACAAAAAATTTTAAGTGCACTCAATGTTTAGATCCATGTGTTTGTGTCTGGTTACTGCCTGGGTACACAGTGACAAAGGTACCCAAGGAGTAACTTTGATGACCATTTCCACAGGTTGAAAATGACAAAAAACATACTTGATATCATGGCTTAAAGTGCAGAAAATAGTCAGAAAATTAGCTGTAATAACAGTGCCATTAGCTCAGAGCCTACCAGCTTGAGAAAACTAAAAATAACCATGTCTCACTAGCTTCTCATTCCGTGCACCAGAAACAACAAGAAAATCCCACACTTCTCAGTCACTTTGTAAAAGATCCACAAATCAAAGAAAAATTCTGCTACTTATCCAGAACAGCAAGGAATTTTACAGAATAAATTCGGAAAACTGATCTTCTGGACTTCCATTCAAAACCATATAACTTCTAAATACAGAATTTACAGACAGAAGTAAAATTTTTACACCTGACCACACCCTTCCAATCAATTGTTCTGGTGTGAATACCAGGTCAGGTTTTCTTCCTTTAGTGGGAGATTTTAGGGGCCTGCTTCCCCAAGACAGAACTGGTAAAGTTCTGTCTTGGATGGGAAAATACATGTTGTGCCTACTACCAACATTTTGTCGTTTGGAATGCTGCTTTCTTATTGCCTTTACTAAAGCAATGCTTCCAGTGCTCCATGAACAAACACCTGTGAGTCTGTAGTTACAATCCTCACCATCAGATTTACATCAGGAATAGAATATATTTGAAGCATGTAATGGCAGAGCTGAGAAAATCCAGTTTGACCTCTGTATGCCAGGACTTTCACTTCACAGGTGAAAACACCAAGCTGTTTGCTGCTTGTGAACCACAACTGCTGCTGAAAAAAACACAGAGACCAGCAGGTTGGTTTTTGTGGGTTTTTTTTATAGTTATGTTTTTAGAATACAAAGGCACCCCAGCTGACCTTGTCAACACTTCGCACTGCAGTGCTGCTGACAGGAGAGATCAGTTCCCATCTGCTTCAGTGGTGACCACACTCTGCACCTGAACTCCACAGGCACTTGGTGCAGATTGCAAGTATGTTGGAATATCCTGAGATGGAGGTTGGTGTAAGAGCCCATGTTCAGCCCAGGCTGTCAGGCACGGCTCCACTGGACTGTCACAGTCCCTCCTGTCTCATGGCAAAATCCCAGGTTTCTATTCCACAGGGATAGCTATGACTCGGGATAGCTGGTTTGTTTTTTTTCCCTTTGGCTTGAAACTTGTCTCAATTTGTGTTCAAAAAACAGCTTTTACCCATTAAAGCCCAAAGTTGCTCTACAGAAGAACTGTGCTCCAAAAAATTCAACTCCTAGACATAGCCAGAATTACTGAAGCAGCCCAGGACAACTGCTGGAATCTTTCTTGGCCAAACCTCTTATCTAGGAGACCAAATGGAGGTTTTTGCTTAGAGGAAATGAACAACACAGTAGCCTTGCTGTCACAGAGGTGTCTGAAAGAAAGCAGCAGTATTAATTACAAATAACCTACTTTCATACATAAATATACATCAAGAAAAGTTGTCTTCCAGATCCTTTGGAAGCAAAAATGTATAATGAGTTATTAAATACAACACTTCAGCAAGGAGAACACTTTTCTAAACAAGGAAGACCAATGCATAGCTAATTACTTGGGAATCCAACACAGAGAAAGCACCTTTTGCTGCTTGCTTCTGAGGATTTATTAAAAATATATTTTCAATATAAAAGTATAAAATAATTACTACTTTGGCTTGGAAAAAAACAGCAGTGGTTCTGATTTTCAAGCAAAAAAAAATCCAGTGATAATTTCCATCTAGTTCCTTCTTTTTAAAAAAGGATTCTTAAAAGAGAAACAGGCAAATCTATCTCTCTGGATAGCATGTGCCAGCTCATGAGAACTTTAAAACAGTTATTGCTTTTATTTTCTTCCATGGAAGAGAAAAGTCGAGTCTCGTTCCTACTCCTGTGGCCACACCACATCGCAGTAAGTCTAGTCCTGTGTGTTTAGCAAGTTACAAAATGTGTAAGTGCCACGGGAAAAAGGCACTGGAGAAATCAGCAAAGTAATAATTACTTGGCAGCAAAACATACTGGGGAAAGTGCTGGGAAAGCTTTCACTCCTACCATCTGTCAGGCTTTCCAGGGAGAGCAGCACTAGCACTGAAACCGAGCGCTAATTGCTGCATGTCCCAAGTAATTTGTATCATGCCATGCAATATGGATAGGACAAGCAGTATCTTCTAGTAAATGCCAACATCAGATAAACAGAGAAAAAAAATCCACAACTTCTCTACCCATTCCTAACAAATACCCAAATGTACAATGTTATTTTCCATGTATTTATACAGCCACCATTCAGCGTTAACGAGAAAGATGTGAGACAGTGTTCACAGGAGGAGGGCTGCACACACAGTGCAGTCACACCCCACCATCCATTCCTTCAGATAGCAAAACTTGTATGAAAGGAACATTTTTCCCCTCTCTAAAGGGTTAGAACAATATTTATAATTATTCTTTAAACGGTAATCAGCAGTTCAACCAGTTCATCCACAGGGAGTCACCATAAGGCAGAAGCAGAATAGTGGGTTTATTTTCTTAAGCACAGGTTTACACAAAATTGGTGACAGCTGAGGTGACAGCATCACCTCTGTGATCCAGCTGATCCTGGAGCCGTGCAAATTCAGCAAGTTCATTGAGTTCCTGAAATTGCCTGTCTGTTTTGTGGCTCACCAGTGACCTGTAGAAGTGGACTGCAAACACAATGAAAATCAATCCAAAGGGCACCATAATGGACGTCGATGCAATGGCTGCTGCCTGTCCTGATGTGATGGTAGAACTGTTGCTCTGCGGGGTGTTGTCAGTTTTCTTCTTTAAAGGAAGGAACTTCACCCAGCATAGTAACACCACTTCTGCAAGAAAGAGCAAAGTCCCAATGACAGTGGAAAACGCCCAGGCGAGCTCAATGTGCCGGTGCATGCGCTCGTGAGGAGATTCCTTGACGGAATTGAGGTTATGCACATTGCTAACAGCCTCTATGTTTGGAAGGATGCAGGTACTTATCATGAGTGCAAAAAGATGAACTGCAACAAGCACAGTAGTGCAGGCACTGAAGGCAATCAAGAGCCCCTGAGGATAGTCGTGGTCTGGGTCAAGCTGAACTTCCACCATAGCCACCTAAAAAGGAAGGGAGAGGGAGATGCAGTTACCTACATCTTATATTATTTGATTATAGGTTATTCAAAGTTTGCACCATGTTTCTGGAAGATCATCTGATCCAAACAAAGTAAGTCTGTATTACGTTTCTCTTCATGTCAATCTGCACCCTCTTCATTAGGTCCAAATTTAGGACCTAATGAGCTAGCAAGCAAAGGCCACTGTTTTCACACTTATTGTTCTGTTGTAGAGCAGACCCACAACCACCTTGCCACCTCCAGCTCATGCCAGCAAAACAGCTGACCCTTATGAACAGCATCCTTGGACTCCTTAAGTTAAATATTTCTTCTTTTGTGTTATATTGAAGACACAGCTTTTGATCTTTACTTATGAAGTCTTTTGAAGTATCTGTGAAAGGCTGCGAACGCAGGGGACTGCCTGAAACAACCTCGGTGGTCCTTTCTCCTTGGCTGTTTGGGTTTAAGTTCTAAAGTGCAGAAATCTTTCATGAGAAAGATCACCTTTCCATGGGGCTCTCAGCTATATTCTTTCACTCAAGTATTTAAGTAGACTCTGGAACACAGATTCAAAATGTGAGTCTCCACAATACCCATGGCAGCTGAGCAAGCCTGTTGGAGGCTGGAGGAAAGACAACGTCTCCAGAAAAGATAACACAGTGCTTCCAGACATCACTGCTCCCCCAAAGATGGGGCTACTCATGAAGATGTTCCAGCCCTCCATTAACACATGCAGCCATGACCTTCTTGTAACCTTAGATCTCCAAGCATGCCTGTGCCTAAGGAGTAAAAAAAAATCAGATTAAATACCAGTCCTAGGAAACTCACAAAACCAGCTGGAATAATTCTGACAAATAAAATTAATTAGAATGCCTTTTAGCTGGTTTTAAAACTGCCAGGTGGTTTTGTGCATATGTGCAATTGATGAGTGACATTAATCCCAACAGCTCTCCTGAAATGATCTTTCCTGATAAATTTGCCTTTCAGACAAAGGGTAGTTCCAAAGAGGGAATAATGCACAAAGGTCTCTACGTTCAGTGCTCTTTCTCAAATGAACTCATTAAATAGGCAAAATGCAGAGGAAAAAACCTGACAGTAATCTGAAATATAAGCACATAAAGCTGATAGGAAGAAAGATTCATGGGTAATACAGGTGCAGGGAGGCATGGAAATCAGGGCTCAAAGACAGCTGCAAAAGCAGCAGGAACATTCAACCCTCACTATTTTGCAAGGGCTGAGCCAAGCTAACCTGGATCCCATCTTCTTACGCATGTTCCAGGACACCAGAACTCTTAATCACTAATGCACCCAATACATTAAGGCAACCCAGAGCTTTGCTCAGACATGTTTCAACAGGCTTTCGAGGCCATTTGCCAATTGTTTAATTCCTTTATTGAAAGCTTTTATTGTCATAAGCCTAATAACCCAGCCAACTAGCAAACAGTTTCCCAGTGTTCTGAGAAACTCAACAAGGAATTATATTAATGCATATACAGTCCTTGCTCAAGGATTTAAAAATACCATTTTTCAGCTGTGGGAAACTTCATGATTGAGAGGATAAACATTT